CCTCACACGTCAATATCCACTCAAACATACACCACACATGTCAATATCCACTGAAACATAGTCACCTCACATGTCAATATATACTGAAACACACACCACACATGTCAATATCCACTCAAACATACACCACACATATTGATATTCACTCACACATAAACCACACATATTTGTATTCACTCACACATACACCACACATGTATACACTTATTTCCAAAACTTAAAAACTTACTTTATTCATGCATTCTTACGACATGTACATTACAAAAACACACTAAAATCTGCTTGATGTGCAAAGGATGATGCCCGAGGAAACATCAGACGTCCCAACTGACGTATGCCACCACCGTCGATATGTATCGCATTATTACCTATATCCTTAAAAGGGGATAGGACAGATTAATAAGTAATATATTTCAAAATTTTATGTATCCAGTATTGATAGTATTTATCTTATTGATAGTTATCAATAAGGCTTGAACAATGGAAATTGCCTAATTTATTATATATAATAAACAGTTCTTTCCTGTTCCATTGCAAAAAATATATATACACACATACCAGTATATATATAAGTTAATAAAAAAAACATGTATAGTATAAGTATAAATTACTGAGACTTAGTATCTTACTATAGTTATTGTAGGAAATGGACAGTTCAGAACATTTGTGTATAGATAATACACACATGTACAGATCCATATACTCAAACACACATGTACATGCCCATACACTCAAACACACATATACACGCCCATACATGCCCATACACTCAAACACACACGTACATGCCCATACTCTCAAACACATGTACCCGCCCATATACTCAAACACTCACGTACACGCCCATACACTCAAACACATGTTCACGCCCATACACTCAAACACACACGTACACGCCCATACACTCAAACACACACGTATACACCCATACACTCAAACACACACGTATACACCCATACACTCAAACACATGTACACGCCCATACACTCAAACACATGTACATGCCCATACACTCAAACACACACGTATACACCCATACACTCAAACACATGTACACGCCCATACACTCAAAACACACATATACACGCCCATCTCAAACACACATGTATACACCCATACACTCAAACACACACGTATACATCCATACACTCAAACACATGTACACGCCCATACACTCACACACACACGTACAGATCCATACACTCAAACACACATGTACATGCCCATACACTCAAACACACACATACACGCCCATACACTCACACACACACATACAGATCCATACACTCAAACACACATGTACATGCCCATACACTCAAACACACATATACACGCCCATACACTCAAACACACATGTAACTGCCCATATACTCAAACACATGTACAGATCCATACACTCAAACACACATGTACACGCTTATACACTCAAACACACATGTACATGCCCTACACTCAAACACACATGTACAGATCCATACACTCAAACACACATGTACACACCCATACACTCAAACACACATGTACAGATCCATACACTCAAACACACATGTACAGACCCATACACTCAAACACACATGTACAGATCCATACACTCAAACACACATGTACACACCCATACACTCAAACACACATGTACATGCCCATACACTCAAACACACATGTACAGATCCATACACTCAAATACACATGTACAGATCCATACACTCAAACACACATGTACACACCCATACACTCAAACACACATGTACATGCCCATACACTCAAACACACATGTACAGACCCATACACTCAAACACACATGTACAGATCCATACACTCAAACACACATGTACACACCCATACACTCAAACACACATGTACATGCCCATACACTCAAACACACATGTACAGATCCATACACTCAAACACACATGTACAGATCCATACACTCAAACACACATGTACACACCCATACACTCAAACACACATGTACATGCCCATACACTCAAACACACATGTACAGATCCATACACTCAAATACACATGTACAGATCCATACACTCAAACACACATGTACACACCCATACACTCAAACACACATGTACATGCCCATACACTCAAACACACATGTACAGATCCATACACTCAAATACACATGTACAGATCCATACACTCAAACACACATGTACACACCCATACACTCAAACACACATGTACATGCCCATACACTCAAACACACATGTACAGATCCATACACTCAAATACACATGTACAGATCCATACACTCAAACACACATGTACAGATCAATACACTCAAACACACACATACAGATCCATACACTCAAACTAACATGTGCAGATCCATACACTCAAACACAGATGTACACGCCCATACACTCAAACACAGATGTACACGCCCATATACTCAAACCTATGTACATGCCCATACACTCAAACACACATGTAAATGCCCATACACTCAAACACACATGTACACGCCCATACACTCAAACCCACATGTACAGATCCATACACTCAAACACACAAGTACAAGCCCATACACTCAAACACACAAGTTACCGCCCATACACTCAAACCCACATGTACAGATCCATACACTCAAACACACACGTACACACCTGTACACACCCATACACTCAAACACACATGTACACACCCATACACTCAAACACACATGTACATGCCCATACACTCAAACACACACGTACATGCCCATACACTCAAACACACATGTAAATGCCCACACACTCAAACACACATGTACACGCCCATACACTCAAACACACATGAACAGATCCATACACTCAAACACACATGTACAGATCAATACACTCAAACACACCCGTACAGATCCATACACTCAAACACACATGTACATGCCCATACACTCAAACACACATGTACCCGCCCATATACTCAGACACACATGTACAGATCCATACACTCAAGCACACATGTACAGATCCATACACTCAAACACACATGTACACACCCATACACTCAAACACACATGTACAGATCCATACCCTCCAACACACATGTACAGATCCATACACTCAAACACACAAGTTAACGCCCATACAATCAAACACACATTTACAGATCCATACACTCAAACACACAAGTACAAGCCCATACACTCAAACACACAAGTTAACGCCCATACACTCAAACACACATGTACAGACCCATACACTCAAACACACATGTACACACCCATACACTCAAACACACATGTACAGATCCATACATTCAAACACACATGTACAGATCCATACACTCAAGCACACATGTACAGATCCATACACTCAAACACACATGTACATGCCCATACACTCAAACACACACGTACATGCCCATACACTCAAACACACATGTAAATGCCCACACACTCAAACACACATGTACACGCCCATACACTCAAACACACACGTACAGACCCATACACTCAAACACACATGTACACACCCATACACTCAAACACACATGTACACACCCATACACTCAAACACACATGTACATGCCCATACACTCAAACACACATGTACACGCCCATACGCTCAAACACACATGAACAGATCCATACACTCAAACACACATGTACAGACCCATACACTCAAACACACATGTACACACCCATACACTCAAACACACATGTACTTGCTTATACACTCAAACACACATGTACCTGCCCATACACTCAAACACACATGTACAGATCCATACCCTCCAACACACATGTACAGATCCATACACTCAAACACACATGCACACACCCATACACTCAAACACACATGTACACACCCATACACTCAAACACACATGTACTTGCTTATACACTCAAACACACATGTACATGCCCATACACTCAAACACACATGTAAATGCCCATACTCTCAAACACACATGTACACGCCCATACACTCAAACACACATGTACTTGCTTATACACTCAAACACACATGTACCTGCCCATACACTCAAACACACATGTACAGATCCATACATTCAAACACACATGTACAGATCCATACACTCAAATACACATGTACAGATCCATACACTCAAACACACATGCACACACCCATACACTCAAACACACATGTACACACCCATACACTCAAACACACATGTACTTGCTTATACACTCAAACACACATGTACATGCCCATACACTCAAACACACATGTAAATGCCCACACACTCAAACACACATGTACACGCCCATACACTCAAACACACATGAACAGATCCATACACTCAAACACACATGTACATGCCCATACACTCAAACACACATGTAAATGCCCATACTCTCAAACACACATGTACACGCCCATACACTCAAACACACACGTACAGATCCATACACTCAAACCCACATGTACACGCCCATACACTCAAACACACACGTACAGACCCATACACTCAAACACACATGTACACGCCCATACACTCAAACACACATGTACTTGCTTATACACTCAAACACACATGTACCTGCCCATACACTCAAACACACATGTACATGCTTATACACTCAAACACACATGTACAGATCCATACACTCAAACACACATGTACAGATCCATACACTCAAACACACATGTACAGATCCATACACTCAAACACACACGTACAATCACAAAAGGAGCATATTAACATACAAAGTTTATTGATAACATAACAATGATTTAGTATAATACATGTATTTGATAATTCGATTTTGATAACACAGAAACATCTGCCATCATGAACAAGGTGGTCAGTTGTAGCTATCATATTTCAAGTCACCTGTTTCGTGCTTGATAATACATACATGTAGATGTATTGGGCTTTCTATGATTGCATTGTTTGAAGATCATGGAGCCTTATCTGACTGATTTTAAAACCACATATGTAAGCTATGTCTAACATCATTATCTCCTTGGATACCATTACAATGACAATGGATTTCTTGCCAAGTAACATGCTTAACATATTTCATTTGTATTTGCTAGGACTGTTTCAAGATGTTTTGGTCTGAACACAAGAAAATTCACAAGTTAGTCCGTAAGTATGAAACTGTACTCTGATTACATAAAAACATCTGTGTGTGCAAATTACAGTAAACAAAAATGTAACAAAAGAATAATACATTTGTATGTACATGAAGTGGAAATAAAATATCATTGCAATATACACATGAAAACAATGGTATGATTATCAAAAGTATAAGGCACAATATAAAACAGTCTAAATAAAGTACATAAAAACATAAATAGTCTTGAGATAAAAGTACATAAGACACATACAGTCTGAGATAAAAGTACATACGGTAAGACACATACAATCTGAATAAAAGTACATACGGTAAGACACATACTCTGTGAAATAAAAGTACATAAGACACATACTCTGTGAAATAAAAGTACATAAGACACATACAGTCTGAGATAAAAGTACATACGGTAAGACACATACGATCTGAAATAAAAGTACATACGGTAAGACACATACAATCTGAGATTAAAGTACACACAGTAAGACACATACAATCTGAGATTAAAGTACACACAGTAAGACACATACAATCTGAGATTAAAGAACGGTAAGACACATACAGTCTGAGATTAAAGTACATACGGTAAGACACACACAATCTGAGATTAAAGTACATACGGTAAGACACATACAATCTGAGATAAAAGTACAAAAGACAAATACAATCTGAGATAAAAGTACATAAGACAAATACAATCTCAGATAAAAGTACATAGACAAATACAATCTCAGATAAAAGTACATAGACAAATACAATCTCAGATAAAAGTACATAAAACACATACAATCTAAGATAAAAGTACATAAGACACATACAATCTAAGATAAAAGTACATACGGTAAGACACATACAATCTTAGATTAAAGTACATACGGTAAGACACATACAGTCTGAGATTAAAGCACATACGGTAAGACACATACAGTCTGAGATTAAAGCACATACGGTAAGACACATACAGTCTGAGATTAAAGCACATACGGTAAGACACATACAGTCTGAGATTAAAGCACATACGGTAAGACACATACAGTCTGAGATTAAAGCACATACGGTAAGACACATACAGTCTGAGATTAAAGCACATACGGTAAGACACATACAGTCTGAGATTAAAGTACATACGGTAAGACACACACAATCTGAGATTAAAGTACATACGGTAAGACACACACAATCTGAGATTAAAGTACATACGGTAAGACACATACTCTGTGAGATAAAAGTACATAAGGCACATACTCTGTGAGATTAAAGTACATAAGGCACATACTCTGAGATAAAAGTACATAAGACACATACTCTGAGATAAAAGTACATAAGACACATACAGTCTGAGATAAATATACATAAGACACATACAATCTGAGATTAAGGTACATACGGTAAGACACATACAATCTGAGATAAAAGTACAAAAGACAAATACAATCTCAGATAAAAGTACATAAAACACATACAATCTAAGATAAAAGTACATAAGACACATACAGTCTGAGATAAAAGTACATAAGACACATACAGTCTAAAATAAAAGTACATATGACACATACAGTCTGAGGTAAAAGTACATATGACACACACAATCTGAGATAAAAGTACATCAGACAGATACAATCTGAGATAAAAGTACTTATGACATACAGTCTGAAATAAAAGTACATAAGACACATACAGTCTGTGATAAAAGTACATATGACGAATACAGTCTAAAATAAAAGTACATATGATACATACAGTCTGAGATAAAAGTACATAAGACACACACAATCTTAGATAAAAGTACATAAGACACACACAATCTTAGATAAAAGTACATAAGACGCACACAATCTTAGATAAAAGTACATAAGACACACAATCTTAGATAAAAGTACATAAGACAAATACAATCTCAGATAAAAGTACATAAGGCACATACAGTCTGAGATAAAAGTACAAAAGACAAATACAATCTAAGATAAAAGTACATAAGACACATACAGTCTCAGATAAAAGTACATAAGACAAATACAATCTCAGATAAAAGTACATAAGACAAATACAATCTCAGATAAAAGTACATAAGACAAATACAATCTCAGATAAAAGTACATAAGGCACATACTCTGTGAGATAAAAGTACATAAGACACATACAATCTGAGATAAAAGTACATAAGACACATACTCTGTGAGAAAAAAGTACATAAGGCACATACTCTGTGAGATAAAAGTACATAATGCACATACTCTGTGAGATTAAAGTACATAAGGCACATACTCTGGGAGATTAAAGTACATAAGGCTCATACTCTGTGAGATTAGAGATTAAAGTACATACGGTAAGACACATACTCTGTGAGAAAAAAGTACATAAGGCACAAACTCTGTGAGATAAAAGTACATATGACACACACAGTCTGAGATAAAAGTACATAATGCACATACTCTGTGAGAAAAAAGTACATAAGGCACAAACTCTGTGAGATAAAAGAACATATGACACACACAGTCTGAGATAAAAGTACATATGACACACACGGTGTGAGATAACAGTACATAAGACAACTCCAGTCTGAGATGAATTAATTTTATTAAGATGACAACTTGAAGAATCTCATTTAAAATATTCTCAAGATGATTGTTGTAAGAAAGTTACATCAGATGATTTTATTGATAACAGAAGGGAATGAAAAGCAAACATCGGACCAGTATAATCCATGGCCAGGCTTCAAGTTCACAGGAGGGGTACGGGTAGCTAAGGTGGTGAGTACTAATCTACACAGCAAAGCTCACTGTCAAAATTGTTGATACTTATCTGGTACATTCTAATGGAAAATGAAAAGTTACAAATAATGACTTCAGCAAAATCTATATATTTGCATTTTCAACACTTTTAAATTGTTTTGTGAAGTTCAGTCATTGTTACAATATGATTTGTAGACACCTAAAAGGATTGTTCCTGACCACATACCTAGGCCAGACTATGCAGACCATCCTGAAGGTGAGACACATACTTTCCATATTGTAAAATGTTACAGTATGTAAAAATAAACATTATTTTGAGTCTTTCTTTTTTCCAAAACAAAAAATACTGTTTTAATAATTGAGAGTATTTTTTTCTTTAATGAATTTTGAGGCTGTTTATATAGAACAGTTGTAGGTGTGCCAGTGTTGTTTACATAAAACAGTTATAGGTGTGCCAGTGTTGTTTTTATATGACAGTTGTAGGTGTGCCAGCGTTGTTTTTATATGACAGTTGTAGGTGTGCCAGTGTTGTTTACATATAACAGTTGTAGGTTTGCCAGTGTTGTTTACATATAACAGTTGTAGGTGTGCCAATGTTGTTTACATAGAACAGTTTTAGGTGTGCCAGTGTTGTTTACATATAACAGTTGTAGGTGTGCCAGTGTTGTTTTTATATCACAGTTGTAGGTGTGCCAGTGTTGTTTACATATAAAAGTTGTTTACATGTAACTGTTGTAAGTGTGCCAGTATTGTTTATTTACAATGGTTACAGGTGTGCCAGTTTCTGAAAGACAGATGCGAGGGACAACGAATATCAAGGTTTTGTCAGACGAGGAACAAGAGGGACTTCGGGTGGCTTGTAAGGTAAGTATATCCAACACATTGGTTTAAAAATGATAAAGGAAGTCCTTACAACTTCATATGATATGAAATTTATACAGTGCTCTATAGAATCAAAAAAATGCTTAAAGGTGTTTTACAGTACATACAGTCAGCGTTAAACAAAAGGTTATTCCGTCTTTGCATATTGCAAAGTTATCTGCTCTTGTGAGCAGGTATTGATTGTTACATCATTGGTTTGTGAGAGTAACTTCATCAATTTTTGAGAAAAACAACGTAAATTTCTCACACAAACCAATGACGTAACAATCAATACCTGCTCACAAGAGAAGATAACTCTGCAATATGCAAAGATCGAATACATTATAGAAGGACATATTCTGTTCAGCATAATATCTGCCTTTTGTGTCAGCACATCTTATGTACAAGGATGTTCATCACCAGCATCAGCATCCCAATTGTGGCCTGGAGACGTGTCTGTAAAATGGAAAACTTCAATAGCTAGATAAAAAACAAAAGGCTGTGCTGAAACATAGACAGGTTTTAACTGTGCTGAAACATCGACAGGTTTTAGCTGTGCTGAAACATAGACAGGTTTTAACTGTGCTGAAACATAGACAGGTTTTAACTGTGCTGAAACATACACAGGTTTTAAATGTGCTGAAAGGTAGACAGTTTTAACTTTGCTGAAACATAGACAGGTTTTAACTGTGCTGAAACATACACAGGTTTTAAATGCGCTGAAAGGTAGACAGTTTTAACTGTGCTGAAACATAGACAGGTTTTAACTGTGCTGAAACATCGACAGGTTTTAACTGTGCTGAAACATAGACAGGTTTTAATTCTGCTGAAACATAGACAGGTTTTAAATGTGCTGAAACGTAGACAGTTTTAACTGTGCTGAAACAAAGACAGATTTTAAATGTGCTGAAACGTAGACAGTTTTTACTGCGCTGAAACATAAACAGGTTTTAACACATGCCTAGCATGTTTGTCCGCCCTCTGGATCCTAACTATAGAACACAATGCTCCGACTTGTAAGAACTCCTTAATTGATTGAAACACCAGTTCTTCAGTGAAGCTCAAAGTTGACAGCTGTTGAAATATTGAAAGATATATTTTGTTTTTGTTCAGGGGACCCTTTTTCTTCTTCTTTTCAATATAAGCATTTTTTTTTAAAAACTCTTAATTCATACAATTAAACTTTTTACTTGACTATGTATTTAGTTCTTGGTACTGAATTAGAGCTAAATTTCATTGCAGCTTGGGCGGGAGGTGTTAGACATAGGGGCAGCAGCCATTGATGTGGGCGTGACAACGGAAGAGATTGACAGACTTGTCCACGAGGTAACTTCTCATTTCTGTCACAGTTTCTAATGAAGTGTTAATGTAAAACAAGAAAATATTTGAACTTTGTCAGGAAAAATTGAGACCTTACTGGAAAGTGAGTACAACTATCTAGTAAGCCTGTTGTGATTAGCAAGTCAGTCAAGTATTTAATGTATGAGTGAATTCAGAATGTAGAGAACAAATATCTAGAGGAAATTGCGACTGAAATTTAATAAATCAATCATATTCCTTAAATATTAATTGAGCTGTATAAACAACATGAGGTTTTGTTGACAGGCCTGTGTGGATCGAGAATGTTATCCTTCTCCTCTAAATTATTATGAATTTCCAAAGTCCTGTTGTACGTAAGTATAAACATGTTGTTAAAGTATATAGCATTGTCATTGTATGTAGGTATGAATGCAATTTGTTTTGGTCTTTTCATTGTTTGGTATGATTGTTATACACTTCAATGATAACAATTTAGATTTACTTACTTTTGAACTTTTAGACAAATTTTAATATTGTAGATAAACTGCAACATAACTGATGTAAGAATTAAAGTTTTTCTTCTGTTTCTCTGTTTAGTATTCTCACATCAAATGTTGTATATTATATTATTATCAGTGATGTTGATGTCTCTCTTAACACACATACATCTCCATAGGCTTACTTGCCAACTTTTGAAATTTCCATGGGGGAGATTATGCATTCTCAGAATTAAAAGTATAAATAAAATGTGTGCATACACCCTAGGGAAAAACCACACTTTTAAATGGCATTTTTGAGCTGTTCTTTCAGCTGAAATCATTAGATGTTACAATATAGGAATAGTTTAGCAAATTCACTGGTTGAAAATGCTTAATTTTAGGGCCCAAAATCGTTAGTCTCCCTCCAAAATAGAGAGAGTTGGCAAGTTTGCATAGGACCTTAGTTGTTGTGAAAACATTAAACACCAAACAAACAAACAAACCTTGAGATACATCTGTGTCTCACATGTGCATTGCTCTGTGGTGCAGGTCTGTAAATGAAGTGATATGCCACGGTATCCCAGACATGAGACCTCTAGAGGATGGAGACATAGTTAACAGTAAGTACACACTTCAATACGTGTTACCAGTTAACAGTAAGTACACACTTCAATACGTTTTACCAGTTAACAGTAAGTACACACTTCAATACGGTTTACCAGTTAACAGTAATTATACACCTCAATACGTTTGACCAGTTAACCGTAAGTATACACCTCAATACGTTTGACCAGTTAACCGGAAGTATACACCTCAATACGTTTTACCAGTTAACAGTAACTATACACCTCAATACCTTTTACCAGTTAACAGTAAGTATACACCTCAAGACGTTTTACCAGTTAACAGTAAGTACACACCTCAATAAGGTTTACCAGTTAACAGTAAGTACACACTTTAATACGTTTTACCAGTTAACAGTAAGTATACACCTCAATACCTTTTACCAGTTAACAGTAAGTATACACCTTGATACGTTTTACCAGTTTACAGTAAGTACACACTTCAATACGTTTTACCAGTCATTATATGTTTATAATTGTTGAAGTAAAAATGTACTGAAGGGATTTATTGATTCTTTCACTTTTACCTTTTTTTACTGTCTGTAATGAGGGCAGTTTTATCATAACGGTGAATACTAATACCCAACATACTACATATAGTCATTACATGTGAAGGGCAAATTAACACTGGGCAAATATACATTTTTCAGGTGAAGGACTAACGTTTAACTAGGCAATGATCCATGGTATACAGTAGTTGTTATGGTTCCTGTGTGATCTCTCTATTTACAGTTGACATTACAACGTTCCATCGTGGATTCCACGGAGACTTGAATGAAACCTTTTTTGTTGGCAATGTGGATGAAAGTAGCAAATCTTTGGTGAAGACGACGTATGAATGTCTAAAGCTTTCTATTGACGAGGGTAAGTTTTTACGTTTGAATGTCTAAAGCTTTCTATTGACGAGGGTAAGTTTTTACGTATGAATGTCTAAAGCTTTCTATTGACGAGGGTAAGTTTTTACGTATGAATGTCTAAAGCTTTCTATTGACGAGGGTAAGTTTTTACGTATGAATGTCTAAAGCTTTCTATTGACGAGGGTAAGTTTTTACGTTTGAATGTCTAAAGCTTTCTGTAGACGAGGGTAAGATTTTACGTATGAATGTCTAAAGCTTTCTATTGACGAGGGTAAGTTTNGACCTCAATACGTTTTACCAGTTAACAGTTAGTATACACTTCAATACATTTTACCAGTTAACAGTAAGTACACACTTCAATACGATTTATCAGTCGACAGTAAGTACACACTTCGATACGTTTTACCAGTTAACAGTAAGGACATACTTCAATACATTTTACCAGTGAACAGTAAGTACACACTTCAATACGTTTTACCAGTTAACCGTAAGTACACACTTCAATACATTTGACCAGTTAACAGTAAGTATACACCTCAATACGGTTTACCAGTTAACAGTAAGTACACACCTCAATACGGTTTACCAGTTAACAGTAAGTACACACTTCAATACGGTTTACCAGTTAACAGTAATTATACACCTCAATACGTTTGACCAGTTAACCGTAAGTACACACCTCAATACGTTTGACCAGTTAACCGTAAGTATACACCTCAATACGTTTTACCAGTTAACAGTAAGTACACACCTCAATACGGTTTACCAGTTAACAGTAAGTACACACCTCAATACGGTTTACCAGTTAACAGTAATTATACACCTCAATACGTTTGACCAGTTAACCGTAAGTATACACCTCAATACGTTTTACCAGTGAACAGTAAGTACACACCTCAATACGTTTTACCAGTTAACAGTAAGTACACACCTCAATACGGTTTACCAGTTAACAGTAAGTACACACCTCAATACG